GTGCTTGGATCGCATACTTCTTTCAAAGGTTAACATGGCTCATGGTGCGAGGGAAGTGATTACCATCGCTCAGCCCTTACACTTAGTTGGACAGGATATGCTTTGTGAGCTTATACATTTGTCTCGGTGGGTGATTTGTCGCCATTGTCTTTGCACTACTCCATAGTTTGTGGTTTGGGTCTTTTGATCGTTTGGTGTTAGCAGTATACTACCCCTTAGGCCCCGAGGTAGGCCCCGAGGGTATAATGAATTTGTGTCTGTAGCTGAAGGGTTGTTTCTCCTCAAGTTGTGCACCATCGAAGAATCACGTTCCCTTGTAGGTTGTGTTGTTTCTGTGTTGTCAGTGGTGACGTGATATGTTGCCTGATGTACAACAACTTTGGATGGGGCTTGAACTTATGGTTGTGAAGCAATTGCTGACTGACCTTGACCTTGGTCTTCTTTATAGATAGTGGTGGGGCTTTCTTCCTTCCTTCTGTTGAGCCTTATTAGCATTTCATTAACAGAGGAGTTTTCGGAAAGGAAAGGTTGGGGATACGCGAATGGTGCATCATAACGCGTTGGAGTATGCCACCTAGTATAAGTGAGGGAAGTTTATCCGGTACCTTGTCGAACGCATTGACTTCCTGGAAGAAGAAATCCCCAATACCCTCTTCAATTTTCAGGTTTATAAAAGAAATGAGCATGTATGCCATGGCCGTGAGGGTTCTAAAGAGGCTTTTCCTACACTTTCTTGTTTCCTGATTTACACGTTCTACTACCTTTAGATGATTTCACTTGACGTACTTTGCAAACTGAATGTTGTCCGAACACAACTTCATCTGAACATGTGGTATTTTCTTCAAGCATTATGACTCCTCTGTAAAGGATTAACATTATTTCTTCACCATTTTAGCACTTGGCGTTCTGAGAAGACTGGGATGCTCTCGTTAATAAGTAGGTCCAAGATGAGCCAGTTTACCCCTTTTGCCTCCTCTTACAAAGGCTTTAAAGTTTGCTTTTAAGGTAGAAATAAATTATGTCAGTCGTCAATATTACTTCTACGAAGATCGACCAAAATTTCCGTTGTACTGAAATTGTCGACCTACCTACATCATGTCTAGGGCCTGGCCCGATATGACTCCCGAGGAATTATCTGCCTTGATATATTCTAAAATAAATTCCTCGAAAATTTCCTACCTGAAAACTTCTATAGGCGTATGGATCTTCCCGAATGTGGAAGGATCTCTGTGGTAAGTTTTTTTCTTAGTTAAAGAAAATACTGACCGAGTTTTTAACTTATCAAGGTTTGTGCTTGTATTACAGATATTATGGTGTCCAAGAGCCCTAGAGATAAAGCTTTGTTCAAACATATATTCAACAAATACCAATCGACGTCGGATGAGGCAACTAGGAAACTGACCGTCGCGGTGGTTACAAATGTTGTGCCTTTGCAAAAGGACAAGTCTTTTTGTCATCACCATGGCGAAAGTTCGTCATCAACCTGTTCACCGAAGAGGAGCCTCAGGGTGTTGAGAGCTCAGTGCCTTTAAAAGATGGCATCTTCAGCACTGATTATTGTCTAGGCGAAAAAGTGTCGTTTAACCTCACTGATGCCAAGAGGGAGATTTACAAAGGCCTCTCTCTCATTCAGAGATGTTGTATGCTTTAATGAAAATGGTCGCCTAAGCCATTCTTCTCAACTGCGAACTATCTTCCAAGGGAGAAATGAGTTTGCCTAAAATTATATCTTCAAGATAAAACCTTAAATAATTTGTAATAAATTGAAAGAAATATATAATTATTTGTATAAAAAAATTATACAATAAATTTAAAATATTGAAGTTGATTATTTAAATATTTTTTTATAAGTAATTAACCTTTACTTTTAATCATAGTTATGGATTAAATTAGATTTACTTTTAATTATATTATATAAGGAGAGATAATTCATATTTATACATCGTATTGTAAAGAAAGTGATAAAAAATAATCAAACTATTGTAAGAATATATTTTAAGCTTGCTGAAATCATATCATTAATTAAATGAAAATATTATGTATTACAACTTTTTATATTTTATATAAAACATAGACTTTGCTGAAATCAAATTATCCAAGCGAGCAGTAAAAGAGTAAAGTGTGATGGTGTGTGTTGTGAAGTTGTTCATCCCTACATCCAAAACAATTATATTTTTAGTATTTTAATTATAACACAATTTTGGAATTTATCTTAATATGAAACTTTATATTTTAGAAATTAATAAATAGAGTTCTTATCACCTAACGAGTTAATTTATTTTGACGTAATAAATGATATTGTCATAAATATGTCGTGTCATAAGATATGTGGAAAAATATGATTTATTTATTTTCATGTTCATAGGTATCCTTCCTTTTATCATTTTTTAAAAAAAAATATATTTTTTTATTCTTCATCGCTATACTTATTTTTAAAAAAAAGTTTAAGAATAAAATATAGAAATATTCCAGATAGAGTACTCAGGTAGGCAAATTTGGATAAAAGAAGTATCAGTGAAGAAATATAAATACTGCAACATTGCATAATGAGATAAAGTTTTAAAAACCCCTGATTGTTAAAAAGCAAACTTCAATAGTTTTCAATAGTTTAAAGTTAATAGTTTTCCCCAAATACATTTAAGTCGTAAATTCAAGATTATAAATATTAACAATTAAGGATTTGTTTTTTTCCCAAAGAGAAGACCGTTTAATTCGCATAAATGAATATTACAAACCTCAATATGTTAAAAGTTTCTTCTTTTGGTAAGAGTTTAAGCTGTATAAACAATTATTTCAAATCGTAATAAAGTTTGTTCTTTTGGCAAAGAAAATCGTGATATGAACATCATAAACAAAGATAAAAAAAAATTAAACTTTACCCGATAAAAGAAAAATAATTTATCAAAATCAACATAATCAAATTTCAATTCTTGAAGGCAAAAATAACGACACAAGATATGTTTTGTAAGTAAAAAAATAAAAATTAAGAAAAAAATGAAATCGCAATGAAAGTCAAGTTTAGATCTTACGGATTTTGTTTCCAAAGGTGTAAATTTTGTCGTTTTTGGTGACTGCTAGACTCAAACTACAACCTCAGTACGAAGTGTAATGTATCGATTTGGCAAACCATGACTTCAAAGAGCAAGAAAAGCATTTTACAGTGCATTGTATCACCATTTGGACAAACCTTAAAATGGTGCATCTTAGAGTTTGCAGTGACAAAGGCATGGAATGAGAGAGAAGACAAAACATAAGAAGACAAAGCGTTTGCGAAATGAGAAATGTGTCTAGGAAAATATGTACCTTTTGAAAATGGAGCACCATGTTCTATGTACCAGAGAAGCCAACGACAGTCCCATTAGTTTCCTTCTAGCGAAGCTTTTATTTATTTTGATTTTCAACCATTTTTGGCAAATTTCTGCAACTTACACGTATCAAAAGTTTCCAAATGTATTTCTCCAATTGTTATAATTATGGATTCATTATTCGAGAATTCGTCGTGATAGGATAAAATAAGAAATCGAAAGCAATGAAAATTGTACGACGGAACATGCCCATATAAAAAATGAACTTTTGTTACCACATTCTAAGCCATGGTCATGGACTTCATTCACTATCATAGTTGGGTAAAATTCCTATACTTCTTTCTAGATACAAAATCTTATTCCAAGCAAAACAAAGTGCTCAGAACTAAAAAGGTTCATAAAAAATGAGGATGAAAACTTTATCGAAAAAGGCTATTACAGTATTATTCCTTTTACCCTCAGCCCAAAAATCCACTTACACGACGTGATGATCTATGTTTTGTCATCCATCCCTGAGATGTAAATTTTGGTATGTTTAATACAATGACCTGTTCAGACAACCAAAGTCAACAGTTCAAGCACAACCATGATAGCATCTAACTGATGTGACTTGGTAACTCCATGGTGGTGGGCAACAATACTGGTGGATCAAAATCTACACCAAAAGCTCTCAATCTGGGCGCGGCAACAAAAAGCTAAAGCCTGAATTTTCACGAATTAGTGGCGGGGGCTCTATATCTGCAATATCTATCTGTTCCATTGATTTCGATATGTCATCAACAGAAAACGGAATGCTGCACAAAATACACGTTTTGATATGGTTAATGATAAAATGTCATTTCAAGAGGATTTATTAAGAATACAGGCTTCTCAAACTAGTATTAGAGTCAATTTGGATAAACTTTTCATCAAAAACATGTAAGAGTAAAATATAAAATAAATGTAAATTAAACTTTAAACTTTACATAAAATCAGCTTACACCACTATAATTTTTTAGAAGCACCCTCGTCCAAATTGTTCGTCGGCATCAGTAAATTCACAAAAACATGACATTCTTGCTTTCAATCATATTAAGTTTTCATAATTAAAAACCTCGAACAAGTTAATCCGAACTACGCCTTGGCCCCCACTTAATGTCCAGATTAGCATATTTTGGAACTTGATTTATTTATTTCCCTTTTCTACAATATTTCTGGAAAAAAGAAACATTGTCCTTAAAATCGCTTTACCAAGCAGGCTTTCTGCCTCGGGACACAACAAAGTAATCTTGAAGTGAGGTTTCAGCTGAATGCATGTGATTATAAGCTTGGTAGCTTATACATGAGAAAACTGTATATTCCGTGTGAGCGTGTGTTATTCTGGTCAAGTCAGGGATCACAACTTTGAATTTGAGAATAATTAAAGTCAGGGATTACAAATTGAAAACTTCAGGACTGCCACAAGCTTAACTCAGTTTTATATTTTTCTTTATTTAGGTTCAGTGCATCATGGTTAAACTAATCAGTAAGAATTAAAAGTGAGTGATATTTTGCTGGAATATTAAAAATAGGAAAACCTCAGCAACTACAAAAGAACTAATGATATCTGACTGACCTTGAATCATCATCCAACAGGAAAGAGTTACTAACTGCATTATTTGAATCTTCAGTCATCAATACTCTCATGTTGGATATGACCTAGATGAAAACATTAATACCGCAAAGCTCAGCGTGGCTTTTCTGTACATCTTATGTTTGAAATTATGGTACTGGATGATTTTATAGAGCTTAAGTAAAACTTTTCTGTAAAAACTTACATCAGAAGACACACTATGCGTTCCATATTTGTCATCCCAGTACATGGTGCTTATACGATATAGTTGCTGTATACTAAGGACCTGTACACAGGAACTGATAATGGTAACTATACCATAAAGTGAACTTTCAATGACAAATATTTTTTCTACTTACTGGGCACAGGTCATGGCTTATTTCATCCAATGTTTTCTTTGGTTTCTGATGAATGACCTAAAACAAAGGAAAAATCATTTGTACCATATCTCTGACAATTTGCAAAAATGAGAGCCAGACGGTTGATAGCAAAATATAGACCGATACCAGAAATCCAATAGCTTGTCTAATATGTTTGAGCTCATCCCAGGCAGAACCTGCATACTGAAATTTTTTTGGAGGGCCGAAGATATTAGTACATGTAGTTAAAAGAACTGAAGAGAACAGCAGTGCAAAGTTAATGCACCTCATCTGTTGCCTTATAACACCAATGCTCCAATTCAGCCAGACCAGCTTTGACATATTCTCCATTACTAAATGAGCAGCACTCCCGTCGTAAAAGAAGACTAACAAAAAAATGAGACGATTAAAATGAAAATTCCAATTTACTGAACACAAGTTTAAAACGGGATATTAGAAGTGCAGAAAAAACCAACCTATTAAACAATTGTACATTGATGAAAGAAAAAATTTGCGTGAACACCTTACGAACTAAAAAGGGAGGAACCTGCAAAAATTAAGCCGCGAGAAATTACAGCATTGAATAAATGAAAATATAACAACTTCCAAAGAAAGGAAAATAAAGTAATGTTAGAAGAACATATTATGCAGACGTGTCTGGGACCAAATTATGAAGACCAACCTTTTGTTCAAAAATTTATTCGAACCTATAAGTGAATTATCAAAATAAATCTCCCTTTATTTAAAATCAAAGTAAAGAAAAAGTATGTAAATTGAGAAACAATAGGGGGAGGTCATGTAATTTTATTGAATTCAATAGAGGTATACGTAATTTTATCACACTATATTTAACGGCACCAAAATTATATGTAAAGAGCAAGTATTACTGGCACATATTGCTATGAGGCAAAAGCACAGAAAGAATACTTCCAAAAGGATTATACTAACATGGTTAGCTTTCAAAGTGTTTAGAAAGTTTCCTAGGCTCTTCACTATCCCCTGCCAGTGAGCAATCAAGGCACGCTGGGCTTCAGTGTTTGCAACAGAACGTGATGATCCCTTAACAAGGCTTGCTCTCGATGTTCTTGGTGCCTATATCGTCACATACCAACAGTGATGTTTTAAATGAATGATATTCCAGGGAAATGTGAAATGTATAAATTGGAAAAAAAATTATAATTTTAAAGCCTGCATTATAGACCAGTTTGTAGAATGTACACATTAAGGAATAAACTGTCAAACCTGGATGCATAATCCGAGCAAGGGAGAAATTTCTTTCTTCAAATTATCACGAATCATTCCATATATCTTTTCCACATATGCTGTAAGCTGCTGTTTGAAAAGCAGGGCAGGGTACTTGGCTTCAACTTGTCTTAATGTATCTACTCCTCTGCTTGCGCTACCATTGACTAGGGAAAGGTTTACTCCAGCTGGAGTTCCACGGAAACTCTGGAAAAAGGGAACTATGCTTACCTGAAGAACAAAAGATTTCCATTGGGAAACAGTTCATTGAAATCAGAAGCTATACTTACTTGAGTCATCCTCCCAAACAAGGTTGCAGATGAAGAACGGCGGCGTTGCGGAGCCATTCCAGCAGCACCACTAGCCTTGAGTGTGCGCTGGAGTAACAAGAGAAGTGTAGAGGCATTGGATAACCAATAAGCCAAGACATCATTATTATCCTGGGTCTGAAATTCGAATGGAATCTATCAGCAACTTGAAAGTGTTAAGCTGAGAGGAACAAGAAAAAGAGGGCACTAGCATGTGGAAGTTGCCTTTTTCACACCTCAATTGCATGGCCAATAGTTTGGATGATACGATCAAAAACACTAGTACGCNACTAAAAAGGTTCATAAAAAATGAGGATGAAAACTTTATCGAAAAAGGCTATTACAGTATTATTCCTTTTACCCTCAGCCCAAAAATCCACTTGCACGACGTGATGATCTATGTTTTGTCATCCATCCCTGAGATGTAAATTTTGGTATGTTTAATACAATGACCTGTTCAGACAACCAAAGTCAACAGTTCAAGCACAACCATGATAGCATCTAACTGATGTGACTTGGTAACTCCATGGTGGTGGGCAACAATACTGGTGGATCAAAATCTACACCAAAAGCTCTCAATCTGGGCGCGGCAACAAAAAGCTAAAGCCTGAATTTTCACGAATTAGTGGCGGGGGCTCTATATCTGCAATATCTATCTGTTCCATTGATTTCGATATGTCATCAACAGAAAACGGAATGCTGCACAAAATACACGTTTTGATATGGTTAATGATAAAATGTCATTTCAAGAGGATTTATTAAGAATACAGGCTTCTCAAACTAGTATTAGAGTCAATATGGATAAACTTTTCATCAAAAACATGTAAGAGTAAAATATAAAATAAATGTAAATTAAACTTTAAACTTTACATAAAATCAGCTTACACCACTATAATTTTTTAGAAGCACCCTCGTCCAAATTGTTCGTCGGCATCAGTAAATTCACAAAAACATGACATTCTTGCTTACAATCATATTAAGTTTTCATAATTAAAAACCTCGAACAAGTTAATCCGAACTACGCCTTGGCCCCCACTTAATGTCCAGATTAGCATATTTTGGAACTTGATTTATTTATTTCCCTTTTCTACAATATTTCTGGAAAAAAGAAACATTGTCCTTAAAATCGCTTTACCAAGCAGGCTTTCTGCCTCGGGACACAACAAAGTAATCTTGAAGTGAGGTTTCAGCTGAATGCATGTGATTATAAGCTTGGTAGCTTATACATGAGAAAACTGTATATTCCGTGTGAGCGTGTGTTATTCTGGTCAAGTCAGGGATCACAACTTTGAATTTGAGAATAATTAAAGTCAGGGATTACAAATTGAAAACTTCAGGACTGCCACAAGCTTAACTCAGTTTTATATTTTTCTTTATTTAGGTTCAGTGCATCATGGTTAAACTAATCAGTAAGAATTAAAAGTGAGTGATATTTTGCTGGAATATTAAAAATAGGAAAACCTCAGCAACTACAAAAGAACTAATGATATCTGACTGACCTTGAATCATCATCCAACAGGAAAGAGTTACTAACTGCATTATTTGAATCTTCAGTCATCAATACTCTCATGTTGGATATGACCTAGATGAAAACATTAATACCGCAAAGCTCAGCGTGGCTTTTCTGTACATCTTATGTTTGAAATTATGGTACTGGATGATTTTATAGAGCTTAAGTAAAACTTTTCTGTAAAAACTTACATCAGAAGACACACTATGCGTTCCATATTTGTCATCCCAGTACATGGTGCTTATACGATATAGTTGCTGTATACTAAGGACCTGTACACAGGAACTGATAATGGTAACTATACCATAAAGTGAACTTTCAATGACAAATATTTATTCTACTTACTGGGCACAGGTCATGGCTTATTTCATCCAATGTTTTCTTTGGTTTCTGATGAATGACCTAAAACAAAGGAAAAATCATTTGTAACATATCTCTGACAATTTGCAAAAATGAGAGCCAGACGGTTGATAGCAAAATATAGACCGATACCAGAAATCCAATAGCTTGTCTAATATGTTTGAGCTCATCCCAGGCAGAACCTGCATACTGAAATTTTTTTGGAGGGCCGAAGATATTAGTACATGTAGTTAAAAGAACTGAAGAGAACAGCAGTGCAAAGTTAATGCACCTCATCTGTTGCCTTATAACACCAATGCTCCAATTCAGCCAGACCAGCTTTGACATATTCTCCATTACTAAATGAGCAGCACTCCCGTCGTAAAAGAAGACTAACAAAAAAATGAGACGATTAAAATGAAAATTCCAATTTACTGAACACAAGTTTAAAACGGGATATTAGAAGTGCAGAAAAAACCAACCTATTAAACAATTGTACATTGATGAAAGAAAAAATTTGCGTGAACACCTTACGAACTAAAAAGGGAGGAACCTGCAAAAATTAAGCCGCGAGAAATTACAGCATTGAATAAATGAAAATATAACAACTTCCAAAGAAAGGAAAATAAAGTAATGTTAGAAGAACATATTATGCAGACGTGTCTGGGACCAAATTATGAAGACCAACCTTTTGTTCAAAAATTTATTCGAACCTATAAGTGAATTATCAAAATAAATCTCCCTTTATTTAAAATCAAAGTAAAGAAAAAGTATGTAAATTGAGAAACAATAGGGGGAGGTCATGTAATTTTATTGAATTCAATAGAGGTATACGTAATTTTATCACACTATATTTAACGGCACCAAAATTATATGTAAAGAGCAAGTATTACTGGCACATATTGCTATGAGGCAAAAGCACAGAAAGAATACTTCCAAAAGGATTATACTAACATGGTTAGCTTTCAAAGTGTTTAGAAAGTTTCCTAGGCTCTTCACTATCCCCTGCCAGTGAGCAATCAAGGCACGCTGGGCTTCAGTGTTTGCAACAGAACGTGATGATCCCTTAACAAGGCTTGCTCTCGATGTTCTTGGTGCCTATATCGTCACATACCAACAGTGATGTTTTAAATGAATGATATTCCAGGGAAATGTGAAATGTATAAATTGGAAAAAAAATTATAATTTTAAAGCCTGCATTATAGACCAGTTTGTAGAATCTACACATTAAGGAATAAACTGTCAAACCTGGATGCATAATCCGAGCAAGGGAGAAATTTCTTTCTTCAAATTATCACGAATCATTCCATATATCTTTTCCACATATGCTGTAAGCTGCTGTTTGAAAAGCAGGGCAGGGTACTTGGCTTCAACTTGTCTTAATGTATCTACTCCTCTGCTTGCGCTACCATTGACTAGGGAAAGGTTTACTCCAGCTGGAGTTCCACGGAAACTCTGGAAAAAGGGAACTATGCTTACCTGAAGAACAAAAGATTTCCATTGGGAAACAGTTCATTGAAATCAGAAGCTATACTTACTTGAGTCATCCTCCCAAACAAGGTTGCAGATGAAGAACGGCGGCGTTGAGGAGCCATTCCAGCAGCACCACTAGCCTTGAGTGTGCGCTGGAGTAACAAGAGAAGTGTAGAGGCATTGGATAACCAATAAGCCAAGACATCATTATTATCCTGGGTCTGAAATTCGAATGGAATCTATCAGCAACTTGAAAGTGTTAAGCTGAGAGGAACAAGAAAAAGAGGGCACTAGCATGTGGAAGTTGCCTTTTTCACACCTCAATTGCATGGCCAATAGTTTGGATGATACGATCAAAAACACTAGTACGCTCAACTTCAAAAGATCGCCAGTGCAAAAGGCATTTGTATATGATACAGGCAGCAATTGGCCTGTTCCCAGCAAAGCCAAGATGTTGTGCAATACATCTGATGAGTAACTCTTGATTCTCCTGTTGTTTCTCATTTAGTGACTTTTGTGGTTTATCATCCAAACCGTCAGAGGGTTCCCTCCGGTGCATTGATGCACTATGCATTTCCTGATTAGACTATTAGGTGGACAAGAAAAAGTCAAATCCATATAGACGTACCCAAAAGCAATAACAATGAATTTATAATAGATGTATTTATTTACCACAGGTGTCTTTGCTTCCGGTATAATATGACCACTTTCAGTTCTCTATATAGACAGACAAGAAACCCCGTTAAATCAATGTCAGGCTTATTATTGTTTCCATGCATAATATTTTTTATCGGGGGATTACCTGGATGATTGATCTTGAACGACCTGAAAGGAACTTGTTAGGAGCCATGGACACAGCTTGTTGACGTAGTACCTGATTCTCTGATTCTAAATTAGTAATCTTCTCTTCTAGCCTAATCATAGAATTATGAGATTTCAGTTAATTAAGAGTAGGCATGATATGATGGACAATTTTAAATTAGATATAATATATTCTGAGATATCAAGGAAAGATAAAGATAAGTTTTTAAACAGCTAGCCAATGATATTATGGAACATTTTACGAGAAAGGAAGTCTCTACAACCAAGAATTTGGCTCACAAGTTTAGACAAGCCATCCAATATTTTCAAGGTAGATCACCACTGATTAAAGGGTGACCCAGTGAACAAGGCTCCCACTACCTAGTAGGGTCTGGGGATAGTAAATGTACACAGTCTTGCCCCCATGAACAGAGACTCTATCCAAGATTTGTGCTAATGACTTCTTGGTCACAGCTAACAAAAAGAACTACATTAGGTTATTCATTATTTATGTTACCTAGTCAATGATTCTTGAAGCTGACGACCCTTCTTCTCCATGTCTTCTATTTTTTTACCTCTCTCTTCACTACAAGCTTGGGCTTCATTGTATTTTCTTTCAAAGTCATCAGATTTCTGTTTCTCTGACTCAAGCGAGGTCTGTGTGAAGATAAAGCCAACACAAATCACTTTAGATGAGATTACCACTATATGCTGCTAAACAAACATTGGTATATATAAACTTTGGACAAAAATTATGCTCCATCATCAGTTTTTAATAAAATTATCTAAAGACATTCAGAAACATAAACATTTTCGTTATATTATTTTTGCACTCTTATTAGTCAATCCAATCAAATATATAATCCTAATGCAAGTTATTTGAGTAGAGATATAACCTGAGGCTAAGTGCCTCCACCTAACCTCTCAATTATTTAAATGATTTGTTCTTGACATTTTTACATGGTATGGAAGCTCCATAACATGAAATTTACTAGTAAATTTTAGTGCAATCATGCTTGACATTCAGTACATTTAAACATAGTATGGAAGCTCCTAACCAGCCTCATTCTTCACAATCATTCATAATTGACGTAAGTTTTAGTTCAATGTGCACTCGTCAAAGGACATTTTGTGTGTGAAGAACATCACTCTATCAACAAGCATTAACTATATTTTTCTTCCATAATGAAGAACTTGATTTGATAATATTTCTAATTTGAAGAGAATGAAAAATTATCTTGCTGTTCCCTAAATCAACCAGAGAGAAACTTGCTTTGTTGTATCCCCTTATATTAAGGATCTTCAGAGTGTTAATGAAGTAAAGAATAATCTAGACTACTAGTGGTGTTTCATGATAACAAAAAACACAGGTGGATCAGCTTCATATCAGAGAAGCCTTGGCCAGTCTCGTTATACATCTTGCTCACACATCTACTTCACTACAAGTAGCTGATATTTTTACCAAGGCTATGAAGACAGAAGCACAGGTTTCTTATTGCCAAAATTTTTTGTTGGTTGTCCCAACTATATATACTGCATAGTCATAATCTTATGAATATATTTGCTTTCTAATAAATCTGCACTAAGTATTTCCAAGATCTCCTAGAATGTCTATCTTGAAAAGATGCTGAATGGCATTTAATAAGACTAGCACGACGAGAGCAGTTCAATTTTTCCAAACACAACTTCTAATCCTTTGTTATGGTTCTTGTGATTTCTTAACACAATAGGTCTCATCAAGTTCTGAAAACATGTTTGATGAGTTGCATATTAGGCCTAGTTTGGATGAACTTTTCAACAAGTACATTTAAGGGAAGAAAATAAGACAAAGTTAATCAAACTTCTCCCATAATTAATAAAATCATGCACCTCAATTTTTTTACAATCTCTTTCATTAATTTCTTATAAATGCTCACCAAGAATATCCAAAATAAGCCATAGTTCCATATAAAGGCTAGGTTGCATAATTGGATACATGTCCGGAACAAAAATATATAATTTGAATAACATCCTCACATTGACATTCTTTATGGTCCTCAATCAGATATAACAAATTCCAGATCTGATGTTTTTTTTTTCCTTTACCAACTAAGCAATGAAGAAAAAGAGGCTACAAAATTAATATACAATTCTAGGAATGATATAAGTCGTATATCACTGAAAAAAATAATGTTAGAAAAAAAAGCTTTAAATTTTAAATGAAGCATTTTGTATAGAAAATGATGCATCCTTGAAATAAGGTTTACCTAATAGGAAATTTGATCTCCTATGACTGAACTTTCTTACCTTTAGGCTCTCAATTTCTGCTGTCAGTGTCTCAATCTTCTGTGTATCTTCAACAATAACCTGTGTTTCTTTAATGACAGGAGGTTCTTCTTCAACAACTTTCTTTACATTCTCTCTCTCTTTAATGAGCAGAGCATTAGTTTCTTCATATTTGATCTGCAACTCCTGCAATGAATTCTGCAGTTTTGCTATCTCCTGAGCTTTGGATTCTTCCAAATTTGTCTGCACATGATTCCACATGGCTTACTTTATGCCTTACCAGTTGCAAGGGTACTTAGTAACTTGCAAATTTTTCCTTTTTAACCTTTTTCTTATTTCATATTTGTACAAGAGATCATCACAACAACAGAATCCTTCCAAAAGTATATCTATCCACAGATCTTACCTTTAAACCTTTTTCTAGTTGGAGACGCCATGTTAGTTCCTCCACTCGTTTTTCAAGTTTATCCTTTGCTTCTTGTAAGGCACCAGTTTCTTTTGCAGCCTATAGCAAATGGAAACAAATGTCAACTTAGAGAGAAAAAAATTATAAGGATATAACGAAACCAGAAAACTATATTGGAAAGGTGACGTTTATGCTACTTATGTTACCATAAAACAATATTGAGTTAGACTTAAAGTCCACCTCACTAAACATTAATGGGTGGTCCAATGGCAGGTGGAACAATACACTCAACAAACATCAAATTTCGCTACAATAGACTCTAACCATGACTCTGATACCATATTAAAAAATGAATTTTAAACCTAACTCAGCCCCATAAAACTGGCTTGTAAGGTGTGATTTACAACCACTCATATACTATAAACTTATCTTATTTCTAGTCGATGTGGAATCTTAATCTTTCATATCATAAAAAGGAAAGAAATAAAATATCACAATACTCTTTGCTCAAATCCATTGTGGATGCGATATTCTATTTTGTAAATTTCTCAAAGGTCTATTTTGTATCTGTTTCATTTCTTTCAAAATACAAATGATAGTGGCTTATGAAATCGAAATAAAAAGGGGACAATTTTATGTCTTCTATAATCACAAGTAAAAAGTTAAGGCCAATTTCAATCTTGGTAAATCGTGAGTTTTGTATTCTTATGCTGTTTTTCTTACTAAAAGGATAATGATGATGACACCGACTATGAGGATGAAACAAAAAAATATAAATATTGTTTGTATTNGTCGATGTGGAATCTTAATCTTTCATATCATAAAAAGGAAAGAAATAAAATATCACAATACTCTTTGCTCAAATCCATTGTGGATGCGATATTCTATTTTGTAAATTTCTCAAAGGTCTATTTTGTATCTGTTTCATTTCTTTCAAAATACAAATGATAGTGGCTTATGAAATCGAAATAAAAAGGGGACAATTTTATGTCTTCTATAATCACAAGTAAAAAGTTAAGGCCAATTTCAATCTTGGTAAATCGTGAGTTTTGTATTCTTATGATGTTTTTCTTACTAAAAGGATAATGATGATGACACCGACTATGAGGATGAAACAAAAAAATATAAATATTGTTTGTATTTACTTTTATGATTTAAAACTCAACTTCACAATAAAACAAATTAATTGGGTGACAAATAGTATCCTTTTCCTTTTGTTCCATAAGCTATGTAGGAAGAACATGTTGCTTATATATATATATATATATATTTGAAGGGTCTACTTAATCTCTATAACAATCATGGTAGACATAAAAACATACCATTTTCAGTTTCCTAAGTTCTCTCCTGGATACACGCCCCCTCCATCTGCACTGTGTAACTATTGTACCTTTCTTCAGCCTCTTATAATATATGGCAGCTTTGTGACACCGCCACCGAGCCTACAATTTTTTAGAGAGAAAATTATTGAACACTGATTGCTCTAGAGGATGATCCAAACCATTTAGTACTTGACCAAACCTGAATGATGATGGAAGCTTTAGTCTGCTTCCTAAATCTGAAGTCCTTGCGAGCAGCAGTGGCCCTTATAGCTCGTTGCAGTGTAAGTACTGCCGCCTGAAGTTCTTTATAGGCTTTCCTAGCTTCATGTCTACGTATGTTCTTTTGAATTTTCACAGCAGCAGCTTCCCTTCTCAGATGCTCATAGAGTTTACATGCAAGTCTTCCTATAGATAATATATCATATATCTTAAGAATAACATCAAGTAATGAGGTCTCCTACAGATCTAAGATATATGTGCTAGTTAGGGACGTCATGCTATGAACATGGCTGCATTTATCCTAACGAATTAATCAGGTTATTTCCCTATTGAAACAATTTACCTCTCCACCGAGACTGCACGTATATGGTCTTCTTACGCAATGCAAGATAGTGTCTGCGTGCTTGATGGGTTCGTACACGTCGTTGGATAACTTTTGCTGCATTACTAAGTACTTGAGCTCTCCGAGCATCTAATTCAGCCATCTGACCTGCTCTCAAGAATACTTTTGTTTTTCCAATCTACAACATTTGAAGCCAACCAGAAAACATATGAGCAGGGCATAAATATTATAGATATATGCACGTTAAGACATACAAGGCCCCAGATAATCTTAGATAGTTAAGTCTGAAAGAGCCATTAAAAATTACTGCTGAAAATGTACACGGATAATAGTTGTTCCCAGGGCCTAGAGGGATTTACAGCAGAGGTATGAACAACACGACAAGAACAAGAACAATAATTATTCTTGTGCAATACATCATGTTACCTGATATCCTTTAAGCTCCATCTTTTCCAGAATCTTTTGGCAAGCAGTTTTTTCATCGCAGCTACCCACAGGTGAAAAACTTGACATTAGCACCATGCCCAAGTTTGGTACAAAATGTTTTAAAAGTCAAAGCCAAACGTTTCCTCCCAAGCATAGAAGATAAAATAAAAGAATGCTTACTTTGCTTCCATGGTCTCTGGGGCAAGGATGCCAAATCTGTTTATAAATTCAAAGAAAGCACGACGAGTAGGGTAGCCAGCACAACTGATTCTGATTGCCTCCAAGACACCCTATAGGGGCAAGAGTTAGGAACAGCAGATGGGATAAAGACTTCAAGGAATTACAGATATACTTTGCAAAAACCATCTTCTAAACAATGAAATAAAGGAAATACATAAAAGCATACTCACACCACAACGAAGTTGTTGCATAATATTGATATTCTCAAAAATTGCAGGCTTGAGGAGGTTGTTTGGTTTCACACATCTAATGTAATGGGGTTCTGTAGAATTTAATGTGTCCATTAGGCTTTGTAGTTGAAGCTGCACCATTCAGAATTTATTAGCTTCTAGATAATAAGAATGCAGTTCAATTTTTGTAGGTAGTGAAGGGAGCTTGTTCACATCTTCATTATTTGAATGATTCCTTAAAATCTTGATTACAATGAAGTCCTAAAGTTTACAATGAAGACATGGAAAAGAATACCTTAAAACGAGAACCAATTGAAGAAAATTTGGAAGATTTTGACGTCTCTTCTGGAAGTGGTGGAAAAAGGCCAGATACAAAAGAACATTTGGAAGCACTCAATAAATCTTGATGTTCTGGAACAACATAATCCTTGTTTTTGTCTAAGAATTGCTCAGACTGGTATAGTACCTGCAAATCGACGAGGTTCAATTTGAAAAAACAACAATGTCTCATTTTGGCAGCAGCGAATGTTGAGATCAGTCATACCTCCCCAGCATAATGAGCAATTGTGAAATCCGTTCGAGACAATTTTGGCTTAATAAAGCGCTTGTGATTCTTAAATGTTTGATAAAGCTTGTTTGCAAATGTTTCATGAGTTGATTTTGGGAACATGCTGAAAGACAAAGGCAGAAGTTAATGGCATGAATGATGGATATAGGTTATGTTATTTAACAAGGAGCTATAGATTTTAAGAAACCAGAAAAAAAAACTGGATCATGTCTACTTTTACAAACTAAAGGTTAAAAATTAAAATCATCAAGCAAGCCATGAAAAGGAAGAAGTTCACAGGAGCAAAAAACAATATTTTACCAAGCTTCATCGAGGAGAGCAATGATTCCTCCAGGTTTCTGCAAAAGCAAAATCAATGTAAAAGTATAACAAGAACAAAAGGCAGGAAAAGCCTAACGAAGGACTGAACTAGGATGTAAAATGGGCCCAAAGTAATAACATGATGGAAGACTACTTAGAAATAGAAATTCCTTAATTGTAAATTTACTTTCATCAAAATAATATAGATTGTGTAATTACTCCAATAATACATAATAAAGATATCACAGTTCAGTTCCAAAGAAGCAAAAAAGAAACTCGTAAACCAATTTTATTTTCATCACACATTCCTGTTCCCCTGCTTCTCTTACTTTCTACATGTACGCCGCTGTTCTGTGAATTTTGTCAACCTTTTCCAACTTGGATCAATCGAGCATTCATTATTAATAGGAAATGTATTGTCACACCAAATAGACAGTGGGAAGAACCTATATTAGATAGTTAAAAAAGCGAGCATTGTACATATCATCATTAAGCATATAAAAAACACTACCTTTCAGTTTCATTAATGATATGAACAATTAAATAGAAGACTTCCGACTAAAAAAGAGTTAATATACTCAGTCTCTAGAAGAAAGTGGGAAATAAGGATAAAAAGAAAACCTTCTCAATAAGGTCCAAAACATCTTGATTGTCAACAAATTCAATGTAGCTCCAATTGATCTCCTCCTTTGTATATTCTTCTTGTTCCATTTTAAACACGTGCTGAAAGCCATCATCTTAATCATATTAAATACAGAAATAACAAAGAAACTTGAAGTGCATATTTGTTCTTAGACTTTGCCTGATTGAAATGTTGCTGCAACTTCTCATTTGTGAAATTAATGCAAAATTGCTCGAAACTGCAGAGCATGATAAACTGAAAATAAGTTACAAAAGATTGAAACTTGAGAACAAGTAGAGGTAGTTGCTTTCAATATCTTCAGTAATACACTCTTGTGGACATACTAATGGATAGATATGTTTATTCTTCAAAACTATATATTACCTGTTAGCTTTAAAACTTTCAAAACCATAGATATCAAGGACCCCAATCAAAGATTTAGATTTGGGGTCTTGTCCGATTGAATTATTTATCTTGTCCACCAGCCTGTTAGAAAAAAACATAAATGACTCAGGAATCAAAACCAGAACCCTGCATCCTTATATTCAGCGTATCTTACTAATTAGACTCTAAAAGATGACTGTATGTCCATTTTCAGTATCTTACCAGTCAAATAGCCGAGAATAAATTGTTTTTGCCAATCCATCTCTACTCACCGCTGCACTTTGGGGGTCAAGGCTCCTTTTTATAACTTCTTCAGGGGTGATCATGACACGCTTACATAACGCATCTTCCAAGGCATCAGCATCACACCTGATCCAATATTGAAATCATCTTAAAGAAACTATAAACCATACAAACACAAGTAATGATACAACAATGACCATACATGAGAAGCTCAGCAGTTGTTTTTAGGTGGAATTTGGCATTATCATCTTTTGGAACCGACGAGTCAACATCTTTTCCTTTGGTGAATTCAATATTACCAATATGAAGAATTGCAGCAACAACTCTGAAAATGGCTTCCTGAGAACAAGAAACAGGACAAATCAGAGAGGTGGAAAATAATCATTCTATATTCTAGCAAGAAAGAAGCTAAATTTGCTATTCTTGAAGAAATACCTGATCTTTTTGACTTATTCCAACAATATCCATAGCTCTTCGAGTGGCAAGATATTCACGAGCATCACTTACATCAGCCAGTTCATAGCATTTTGACTGGTTAAGGTAGTGAAATGATTTAGGATTTCCTAATTTGTATTTCTCAATTTCCTGTTAGAAGAATTTCCAATGACTTTACATAATTAAGAGAATCCGCAGTAAGTAGATGATAGACAGAAAGCCACCTCGTGCGGTGCAGCACAAAGAAGATAAAAGCAATGGTAATTCCTTTCAGGATCATTAATTTGGCAAACCCGAGATCTCTCTAGAAGATATGTTCGGATGGCTGCTCCTGATATTCTTCCACTTTTATCAAATTGGATCTCAACAAATTTACCAAATCGACTGCACCATTAACACTAGGAGAATTTGAAACCAACTCTTTGGTAATAGCTTGCACATTCAGTATCATGTAGCAGGTAATATTAGCAAAATATAAATTCTTTTCTGGAACAAAAACTTGATTAAGAAAGGCATCATTCTAACTTCCCTTCTTAAAATTATGACTTTTGGCAATATGACATCATATACTAAAAGTAACGAAATGAGAAAAATAACGGAGGCACAGTTAATCCATAATTTCAGACAAGCAGTACGAAGGAAGCACAGGGAATCCTTCATGGCCCACATGTCAAAAAAACTGATACAAAAGATAATTTATAAACCAGAAATCATAGAGAATAAAACCCACAAAATTCGTTATTTACCACACTATAGACTCACCTAGAATTGTTATTCCTAACAGTTTTAGCATTTCCAAATGCTTCCAGAACTGGATTTGACTGCACTCAAATCAATCAATATGGAAGTCTTGAATGAGTTCATATCAGAAGATAAGGAAAAGGAAAGTTATTCGGGAGGGGGAGGGAGCATGAGAATGGGAATTCTGGAGTTAAAAAAATGAGTATTATTAATTCAATCATACTTCAAGAACTTGTTGTTCAACTGTCCGTCCTTCGGTACCAGCCCTACCACCTAAGAAAGCAAGGTACTGCATAAGCATTTTTGTCGTTTCAGTTTTACCAGCTCCACTTTCCCCACTGACTAGAATTGAATTGCTTTTTTTTTCATTAATCATCGCCCTGTTATTAAAAAAAACATCAATTTAATATTTGCTTCAATTATAGAAAAAAAAACTTCAATCTTTAGGGAAAAAGATTAAGATTACCTATATGCAACATCAGCAACTGCAAATACATGAGGGCTTAATTCTCCAAATGGTGCTCCCTTGTATTGTTGCATCATGTGCGCACCATAAATATGAGGTAGTCTTTGGAATGGATTTATAGCAATCAGAATATTTCCAGTATAAGTCTGCCAAAACCATTGGTAGCAACTTTTTCACTTATAAACTTCACTGTATCTCATCACTCATCACATTAAAGGGAAGAAATCCTTACGTATATTTCATTCAATTCATATCTAGCCTTCAAGTTCTGCAGGACTCCAGGCTCATGCAAATAGGACAGTTTAGTCATATCATCCACTCCACCAGGAGGAGCTTCCATGTCCTTAGGATATATTTTTGATAAATTTGCATTGACCTTGAAATAGCCAAAATAGAAGAACAAGTAATAATTCAGAAGTAACCTTTGGCCTAATAAGTCACGGTAAAATTTGCAGATTATCAGTTGGAAATAGAAGCATGAGAAAATGTGAGTTCTTCATCAATTAATGAGGTAAAATGCCTTTAGAAGTCAACAAATAATAATTAATTTTTTTACTACAGAGTTCATCAGTAAACATAAAGCAGGAATACAGTAAAGAAACTGACAGCGATAAATTAATTCAAGACTCCAATGACTTTGATGGTGGATTTTCAACATGAAAAAATTAATTAATACAACTTTTGATGGATCACAGTGATAACTTGAATACCAAGCTGGGAAGTTCAGTTCAATAATGAAAGAAAGAAGGCTTGTTTATGGATCTCGTTACTTTTTAGTTTTTCTTAAGCTTTTTTACACATTTTGTGATCTACTTGAAGCTAAGATACAGCTGATTAGCAGTGCTTTCTCTTAAGTTGATCATCGTGTAAGCAGTTTCTACGTGTGAGAATAAATAACATGGGGACACAATGTAAACTTGTTTGTAGAGGGGCAGCAAATTTTTTGTTTCCGAAAACTAGTATATAGGAAAAAAAAATGTGGTCAAACCCTTCCCTTAACATTTCACCACGCCTAAATGAGAGGTAAACCATTTAACTGTTGTCATACAATAAGCCAAAGTCTTATTTATCAAGACAGGATGCCGCTTATCAATGACCAAAATTGGCAATAAACCTACCAATCTTCTTCTCAAAATAGATTGGATAAAAGGCAAAAAAATATAATACTATAAAATACGGAACCAAGTAAATGGCACTCTGACAGTCTACAAACCTTTTTTCCATTGGTAGTTTCAATTTCAGCATCCTTTCCATTGATTTTTAATACCTGTCCATCAATCCAAGATACCTCTGGGTCTTCAATCCAGACATGAGAACCCACAATAATATTCACGGGAGTCCCCTGCAGATGGAGATATGGAATAATCTTTTATTACAATTATCTAAGATCTCATAACGGTCTAAATATGTACTACTATATTATCTTGTCCGCAAGAAAAGCTAGCAAGAATTGTACATCCATTTCTCCCATAATGTGTGCCTAGAAAGATCTAAAAATTCCAAACTAAACTAAAATATGTATACCAATAGCACAAGTTTCTTTCTTATAGTTAGTTACACAGGATCAGTAATACTAACAGCCAAATAAAATAAATCAGAATGTTTTAGCATAATTTTCACAAACAGTAGCCTAACAACCAAGTGGATACCACATTGTAGAAAAGTCAGCAGCTTAATCAAAGTTAGCTACTGGCTGAAAGACAACATATCATATTTCTTTCCCAATACACCCGTTTCTACACATAGATAGAGAGATATTAAATTTTGACATCTCGAAAAAATTGCTTTACAAGAAATCAGAATCTACAAATCTAAATCAATGCTTTTCAGAAGTAGAAGTTCAACTTTTTTTAGGCATAAACAATCACGAGGCACAACCCACAATTCAGGATCTTGAACTCAATATTAATTTGAAACTTGATATGCCAATTAAATCAAAATTTCTTCGACCCATTGCTACCAAAAGAATAAAAGTTTAAAAAATTAACCCCTTCTCTAACACATCTGGATAACATGTCCAATCCATCCACTTCACACAGAACAAACCAAGTGAAATTTGTCTGCAAGCATTTAATGATGGATCACTTTTTGTTTCATAATTTATCCACTGCTGGCATGATATATCTGAGCATGCTGCCTAAGTAGCCCAACTCCATCTGAATGCAACATCTCTGAATTATTATTAAAAGAAAAAAAACAACACTAAAAACACCTAAGAAACTATACAAAAGTTTTATCCTAGAGCTTTAACCAGTAAACTCTCCAATCCTTTTTCCCATACTTATCCAAGATCCCAATGTGCATTAATCATGGAAGAGGATCACTATATAAAAAAGGAATGAATTGCATAGAATCACGTGACTTAACACATTCTCAGGCATCTAGTCCATAGTTTCATTACATCATTGACATTTAAGTATTTTCAATTCCATCGCATACGCGAGTATTCTTTTTTTAAATATAAAACAAACAGGTGATCGCATGAGAGACCTGTGTTGATTGCGCATGCGACTAACTAAATAGAAAGAAAAACGCATTAATTGAGAATGAAGAAAATTGAAAATGGCGAGATGAGTGTTTGAATTAGAAGCATACCATCGTCGCGGTTCATAAAGAGAAGGATAAAAGTTAGGGATCTGATCGTGCTATTAGAATGAAATGTGTTAAGAAAGTGAGAAAGGGTGAAGATGAAAGTGAGAAAGGGTGAAGATGAAAGTGAGAGAAAAGGGAAAATGAAAGGAGAAAGAAGTGGAAGTGAATGTAGGTGAGGATGAGGGTGAGGGTGTGGGTCTGGATCCATGAGAAGACATTCTTCGCAATGCCCTTCAACTTCGGCACTTTCTTCTTCTTCCCTTTGCTTTCGCGCCAACTCGTGGTTCCTAATCACTATGCATCCCGCTCTTCCCTTTTTATTCCCTTCCCTTCTCTTTCAAATGTTTATAGCTACGCTCAAATACTTTACTTCCTAACATAACCATAATCTTCACAATAATATTCAACTTATTTTAAATGCAATCTTATAACTAATTTAAAAAATGCATTAATAAATCTAATATGTAAACTTCTTCTATAGGCGAAAGAATATATATATATATATATATTTATTAGAAGGAATTAAATAATAATTTTGGGTTTCTTATCTAATTTATAATGAAATAAGATTATCTGACATTATAAATTTGGCTTTGTATCAGTTGTTAACTATGTAATTTTCAGTAACTTGGTAACTTTTCTGTGTTGAGTTGAGTGAGTTTTATATCAGAATTATTGACAATTCCCACAACTTACATATTATCTTTGTCGTGAAAAACAAACCATTAAAAAACCCACTTACCAAGTTCATGTATTGGTTCCAAATGCATAAGGTGATTAATTAAGAACATTTCTAATACACCCTTAATCATGATCTAGGTTTATACAAAAAAAAAAAACTTATTAGAATATACTGTTTAGCAGAAGATTATAAATTCTAAGAATAAAATAATTGATCACATAATTAAAATATTTTTTATATATAAATATGAAAATACAAATAAAAAATTATAAAGTGCAACCACTATAGAATCTCATCAAACTTCTTGTAGATGTGAAGTAATAAAAAAACCCTTAAATTAAAATAACAAGTTAAAAAAAAAACCTTGCAAAATAATATTTCTTATTCTCTATTAAAAATATTAAAATGGAACTTTAAACAATATCTTACAGAACATTTCTAAGACTTATAACATATATGAATTACATGCACAAACTTAATTTTAATATAGTTACTCAGTTTTAAATATTTTCTTCTGATTGTTTATTTTATAAAATTATAGAATATATAGTACTAGGTCGTGACTAACCATGAACCATAGCAGCATGTTGCATATATGGTGGGTTTGGATTCTGAGTCAACTTTGTCGGAAAATTTTCATCAGTCATGGTTCAACCAAATAACCCTCACGATAACAAGTGGTCATATTGTGACCTTGACATTTATGACTAAAGCTTTACACCAGAAAATAAAGCATGCATCATGTTACTACTAGTACTACTGCAGAAACATTAAGGCAGTGATTAGATTGTTTGCCTTTAGCACAAGATAAACAAACAACATATATAAGCAACAAGTGCAGCAAGTTTTTCCTTTCTTCTTCCTCTACTTAATGTCCACTGCCTAATTCTCCTAACTAAATAAACCACTAAAGGCCAAGGAAACTTCAGTATTCTCCCTGGCTGGTTTAGTTTCCATCAGCTGCAGATTTCAGATAAAGGGTCTCACCACCATCACCAGAGTGGCCACTGGAGCTTCCTCCTCTGCCTTCACCAGAGCTTCCAATATCTTGCTTGCCAATGTTACCAATGCGTACAAAATCAGGAAACCCTCCAGAACCTATGGTTGCATTGCCCCCTACAGTTGTGGCTTCACTTTGCATCATGTGAAAGCCTTGACTTCCGCTGGAGCTCATGCCAAGTTGGCTGTGCAAGCCCTGCTGCTGTTGAAGAGCTGAGAAGGGTTGTTGAGAGTATAAGAGGGAGGAGCGTGAAGCCATTAGCTGTTGTTGTGACATCTGCTGAGCTTGTTGAGCCTGCATGTAGTGTGCTCCCTGCTGCATAATTCCACAGGGAGGATACTACAATGATATTCAGAAGAATATGAAGTTAACTGAAGATTATGTATATGATACTGGATCATTACAGTATTTTGCATGTAAAATGTATCTAGCATGTCAAAGTGATTTCCGATGCTAATCAAATATTCTGAAAAAATGGTTGTGTACCTGACCAGGCATAGGAGGTGGTTGGGGCTGGGAATCAGCTATCGCAGCAAGGTACATCAGATTTCTCTGCAGCCTGGATTGGTTCCTGAAATAAAGACAAGAGGATTGTGATGCTTTAGGACCACAACAAAAGGAGCAGTAAAGGAACCATAAAATCTAATAATTGTTTTAGGTTTCAATCACAAGGCAAACATGGAGAACCGTGATTCTTTGAAGCAACTTTTTCACACCCCCACAGTTTCCCAAGAAAAAAGTTGATCTACTTTGAGTATCTGTGTCCCCTTCAAGTTGTGTTGACAAGAAAACCACGAAATGATGCAATTACCAAAAAGGGCTACAACCTTTCTCCTAATGATTGACCTTGTGGAAATATACATGTACAGAAAGTGACAACTGTTTTGTTTCAAGTCATCATGTTTGCAACTTCAATTCAAAATTGTATAAAACTATTGGTGTCCAATTTTTTTGAAGTATTGTGGGGTACACTGTATCTTAGAAAAAGCCTGCAAAAAGATACATAGTCAATGCAGACTCCATTTAGATTCAAGATTTCGAACACCCTAGCTTTATCGTCAGACTAATTAGGTAGTTTATAACACGGTCTGCAACTGTGGCTAAAGTATCAGATAAGAAACTAGGAGGGTAAAGTTTGGAATAAGTCATTGTTAGCATGAACTATTTGACCCTGCTAATACCCAAAGTTAACCTATGAGGAGTTAGGCTATATTACAAGTGGAACAAATGACCAGAAAATTAAGACGGAAATTAACTAAAGGGATTGAGGTAGGAACTTGTTCCAGTTTCTATTCCTTACAGTTATTATATGAAACCAAACCAGAAGGGCTCATGCTTGCCAAATAATAAAGATTTGAGAAAAAGTTTTACAATGAGACCAGTTCTTACTCGGCACACTCGCTCAGCTTGCCAGAATTCTGGCTTTCAACAATCTTCAGAATCAGGGACTTGTTTTCATCCAGATACTGCTAGTAAAGAGAGAAACTAGTTATTTCAGATATGACAATTTCACAAAAACGAAGGGGGCAAATTGCATAAATACATGTGAAGTGGGGAAGCAAACAAACAAAAAAAAAAGGCATCGTTGATCCGTCATGTTAATCAAAGTAAACTTCAGAAAACATGCAGGGAATTTTAGAGTATATTTTCTAAAATGTATTGTACAAAAATAGTCATGTATACCATAATATTAATGACTTTTATTTATGTCGACTGAGACTATGAATATGAGCATTTTCTGGCATGCAATTTCCATCCTGTCATTTTTTCTTTAATATCAAACACTTTCTTCAATGGACTGTAATTGTATGCAAGAAAGTAAACAAGCCCTTTAACCAACATGAAACAGTTCAACATTCTCTCCCACAAATCACCATAGAGATACTAAACCGAAACAGAGAAGCTAAAAACATGGCAGTACCAATCTACAAAACTGCAAGGACAACACATGAGAGAATCTAGCAGTCCAAGTTGAACACTTTGAAACATGAACGGAGCAAACAACACAGCAAGTATCAAAGTGGGGTGCCACCAGAACAGTGTAGACACTAAAGAACAGTTACTCTCTTTGAAAAAAAGTAATTAAAACGAAAGGCATACTGAAGGGGCCCAAGAATGAGTGGAGTCAAGCTTAATAAATGATAAGAACAGAGCGAATCAAGCAAAGTGGTGAACGTGAAGTGACAAAGACGGGGATTACGTTAAGATAGGCTCACAGAGATGTTAGCAGAAAGTGACAAAGAATAAAGAGAAGAGGGCATGATGAGAAACAGAGTAAGCAAGGGGTAGTACTAAAAGTGGCACAGTAAGACCCACAGGCTCAGAGACACAAAAGAAAAGGTTCCCTGAGCAGAGACAGGTGAAGGGAAAGTGGAAAGAAGCTTGAGAAAGATAAAAGAAAAGGAGAAGAAGGAAAAGAGAGGGAGAATGGAAATGGAAGAGTGAAAGGAAAGGAAAGGACCTGTTGAATGTGATCAGTGGTGACGTTGTTGGGGTAGTAGGCTGCCATGATGGGCTGCATCTGCATCAGGTGCTGCTGCATTTCTCGCACGCTAAGTAACTAAGTCCACTATTTATATACAGATGATGAAATTGAAATCTATTCTCTCTCTTTTTTTTCTCTCAAACGGAAGGGGGAAACAACCCCTGCAAGCTGAGAGTGCAAGGAGGAAGGAACTGCAAAGAGAAACAAAAGACTGTGTTTTTCTCTGTTCCCGCTTTTGCCTTCTCTCTCACTTGCAATTACAATTACAATTACATTTACAATGTTGCTACCACACCGAGAAAGATATTATTATTTATTGCAAGAGAGAGAGTTGAGGTTGAGGGAACCTGGTTGATTTGGCTCTTTCTTCTCTGCAACAGGGTCCCTCTCTGGAACTGCGTGTCTTTGCTCTCTTCTCTCTCTCTCTCTCTCTCTCAAAAAGTAGCTCACGTGATGGACCAGAGAGAGAAAATAAAAGATGCTGCTGTTCGCAACTAAACAGAGTCAAATACGTCAAAAGTTTCTCAATACATGGCAAAATTTGTTTTTTCTTTGTTAAGGTTCATTTTAGGAGTGCCTGTTTATTTAGTTTCAACAAAAAAAAAATAATGCTTGGAACAAATAATCTATTTTTTTATGAATTAAATTACTTTGTTTATACATATTGTGATAATCTTTTATGAATTAAAAACTGTAAGATTCCACTTTTATTTTCCTTTCACCATTTCACAACCAAACGAGAGAGATGATGTGCATATCTTTGGGTTTCTTGTACCTAAATTCCATAGCATCAAATAAATTATACAGTAGTTTTGATTTTGGAAAGAGTGGAAGGAAAAAATAATGTAAAAGTGGAAAATAAAATAATTTTGTGGATTGTTGAGAACACAGAAAGAAAAGAAAAGCATGTTATGCTTAAAAAATAGTCTCATATAGTTCATGCTGGCTTTGTATACCGAACCCTCCAAAGGAAAGTATGTACTGTTTTTTTTTTCTCACAAACTACTATGTCATTTATTGTTTTTGATTAGTATGTATGCTAAACAACCAATTTTTTTTTCTTTCTTTATAGATTTTGCTTTTGCAGTTAGTTAGTGAAGGATGTACTTAGATTTTAAGATACACAATCAAACAAGGTTATTCTCTTATACAGACTAAGTATTAATAACTTCAAAGTGATTTGGCTTTTAATTTTCTTTTCTTTATTCACTTGTTCAATTTTTTGTTTCGTTTGATTTGATGGAATTTATGTTTACTTTATAATTATTCAAATGGTATTCTAAAAAATATTTTGATGTTTAAATATAAAAAATTCAGTGATTTTGATATTAAATGTAGAATCAATATTATTTATTATCTTAGTTGAAGCTTTTATTTATACAAATTGTAATGAATTTTTATTTATTAGTGACCTAATTATAACCCAATAACACCTTAATTATAATTATCAAACTGATTTATAATAATTTCTACATATGCTCTTAATCACGGTAGTTGTATGTTTGATGGATGACTCACGCTAGTTGTATGTTTGACCGGTGGCTTAAGGGACCCATCAAATTCTTTTATAAGACTATGTGACTTTATTTGTTCCATCTATTTTTCTGTTAAGTCGGTTTGACAACCTTATGTTAGGGTTAACCAGACTATTCACATTGAATCGGTCGGGCTTGTACTATTCACATCTTAGCATCCATCGGGGGGTTGAGTGAGCACTTATAAACTCACATGGTGACAATGAGGAATATGACGAGCAACATTGTAATAGAATAAGCTTTGGACGACCAATTGGATCGAGGGAGATGATAAGAAACCTACAAAAGCAAAAAGATGAAATGTAGAGCAAAAATATGAGAAAGAGTTAAAAGTTTTGCATGCGAAGAACACTATTGGAAAGTGGTTTTAAGCCTAACTCAACCCCACAAAACCGACTTGTAAGGTGAGGTTTGCACTCCACTTATATATTATAATTTGACCTTATCTCTAGTCGATGTGGGACTTCCAACTCACCCCATTCACTCTGAGGTATAGACATCTCAAGCTTGAGAGTATAATTAATGGGTGGTCTAGTAGTGACCCGACAATAGGTTGAACAGAATGTCCACATAGATCTTGCTAGGAATGGCTCAAACCATGACTTTGATACATTTAAGAAGTGGGCTTTAAGTCTAACTCATCCCTATAGAAACGGCTTGATCATAAGATAGGGTCGGGATGCTAAGAATCTTGTACCTTCCACCCTGACACTACCCAGACTAACCAAACAACTACGTGACAAACCTAACCTTACAGTAAGAGGTTAGCAGAGCCAACAAAGATCATAACTCATCCATTATGACAATGGATGCGATCGAGATGCTACCACCTTGGGCATTGTGGAGACCCATCTACCTAGTAATTTAAGGATGTCTATTTTCAACAATTATGATGACTCCACTAACCCATAGAAGCATATCAAAATATTCATGAACCAAATGACACTATATACAAAGAGTGATGCTACCTTGTGCAGAGTTTTCTTTACCTCGTTAAAGGGAAAGGCCTTGGCCTAATTTTTGTTACTCCTAATGAACTTTATAGATTGTTTTGCCACAATTCAAACGAAGTTTGGAGCTCAGTACGCCACGAGTCGACTATACCACTTGACCTTGATTGCCTTAATCAATGTAAGACAAAAGAAAGATGAATCACTACAAGCCTTCATGGATCGATTAATCAAGTAGCCTTACAAATAAAAAATTTCAATCCTAACGTGGTCATGTACCACATAATCATGTTATTACAGCCTGATCCGTTCGGAGACAAATTATGTATGCAATCCCTGAAAACCTCGATAAACTAAGATAAAGAGCAACCAATTTCATGTGATTGTAAGAGATGGAAGATTTTCGGATGTGGATAAGAGCATATTATATAAACTAAAAGATAGAAATTTATAAATTAAATTATTTTAAAATATTTATCAAATATATTTATATTAGTTTATAAATTAATCACATAAATCAATAATTAACTTAATGGTCCTACCAAAGTATTCTAAAAAGTATACATTACCTTTTAAGAATTTCGTTTATCAAAGTGAGATTAGAAATGGTTGTGAAATGTCAAAGGGTGAAACGCTGTGGCAGGAACAAGTGAAAAGGATAAACTGTGATATGATCACCGGAGTAAATGTTTAGAAGAGTTTAGTAATTTTGTACCCTGTTGAAATTCATTATGATTTTGAATTATTCTGGTCAACTTTTCTAACAGTACCTGATTATAAAGTTATTTATGAAATAAAAATATATTCTTTTATCGATAGATAACAAATCACAAAATACTTTTATTCATAAACAAATTTTATAAATATTTTCTCTTGAAGATCCTTTACCAAGAATTTTTTTTGTTTCTTTATCTTTTATGAAACGTCTGACTTTATTTTGTATATGCGCTCTCATATCTTTTTCTTGTATATAAATGGAGAGGGTGATCACAGCGAGGAAAGTTGTGTATATTCATATATCCCAAAATAATTTTAAAGAAGGAAAAATCGAACTGGCTTGATTTGTTTCCATTTAAAAGCATTTTATATTTCTTTAAAATGGAAAAGAAAAAAGTGATTTATAAGGGAATATTTTCAAAGCAGTGTTGATGAGTAACAAAGTATTTTCAATTTCACCATGTCAGAAAATTGGTGGCTTCTTCTGAAATCAACTCTTGGTTTGAGCATATTTGTCGCTATTTGGAAGCATTATTGAATGATGGTGAAATTCTTATATCTATCGATAAAGTTCGACTAAGAAGAGGAAAGTATACTGAGATGAGAAAATGTAACATACTGAAGAAGAAGAAGAAGAAAATTTAAAGTCTTATAATGTTTAACAACAAAAGTGTTTTAAGAAGATTATACTATTTTGTTCTCTATTATTTTCGTTTTAAAAGCTACTTTCTTCGTTTTTGTAAAATAAAATAAAATTAAAAATAGTAAAATTATTCTTCAATCCCAAATAGTTACCGTACATGTAAGAAAATCATATGCTATTATTATTCAGTTCTTTTATTTTAGTTTAACGAGTGTTTTAAATTTAAATCTGAGCATTTATTTTTTGAAAATAAATTAAAAGTTGAAAAATAAGAATTACTTTATTATATTTTTAAATAGAAAGTGATGTCATGGAGGAGCATAGGAATTTGAATGGAGATGTACAACTTTCAATAAACATGACAATGTGCAGAGGGAAGTTTATAGAGTTGTAGGTCTCACGTATATTAATGTTAGATGATGACGTTGGAGTTGTGCAAGAGATTCCCACTTTTAATATTTTTATTACTTTTATTTCTATTAGACTATTTATTTATAATTTAAAATAGTAGGATCATTGCAAGTGATCAGACTTCGATGACTCAGTGTAATACCCGAAAAATGCTATAATATTATTTTTCATTATTTTACTAAATATTAGATAAAAATACGTGATACCTTAGAATTGCATAATGTATATATTTTTTCAATAATAAAAAAGTATTTTTTAAGTGTCTGGTGTATCTATGCTCCTTTTTAATGGAGAGTTACGTTATTTTAATAAATCCACTTAGCTGTTTATCAATGGTTAATTAAAAAGCATATTTAAGCGGTGATTAAGAGGTTTGGATTGCATCACTGCATGGATGCTTACTCAGATTTTCTTGGGAAAATTACTCTAATATCTGAAGAGAATAAACCAATCAGAGACACAGAGAGAAAGTTATTAGTAAAATGTAGCAATCTTAATTATTTTAATTCGATAATCACAACATGGTTTGTTTAAAATAGTTGTCTTTTACCATATCGATGAATTACCTGCCACAATTCCCTCGTGTTTGTTAATGTGTTGGAACCACTGTATGTAAATAAATGAATTAAGTAGTAGTAGTACCCCTGCATATCAATTGACAGAACATAGAACATAAACCATAGAACATAGAATATTACTAGTTATTTGTTATTATTTGGTGGAAAAAGGTGGTCAAAAAATTTAAATTTTGAACATGTGTATGCACGTGTCATCTGCTGCCTCTTTTCCAATTTCTTTCATTTATTGTTGTAGGAAGAATATCACCTACCATACACATTAATAGGGGAATATAGGAATATATGTTCTGGGTTATTTTAAATACCACCATCAAATACTATAATATACAAAGAATTTCATCATTCACATTGTTACCATAAGTAACTATTTAAGTCAATTTTACTTACCGTTGTTTAATTATGAATCAAAGTACAATTTAAAATTACTGGCTTTTATGATAATTAATTTCAAAA